TAACTATTTGCAAAAGTTTCGCAAAGAAAAGTCATGCGCAGAGTTGCCGGCCATCAGAACAGGTGGAGTAAAGCTGAAATATCACCAGCTCGGCAGCCCAAGCAGAGGGTCAATAGTTGGCCAAAAAAAGAAACAAAAAAGGCAAAGGGTTAATAAAATCCGCCTCTTACCCTACACTTTAATTCCACATTATGGAAAATTCAGGCTTTTTGGGGAGACCCTACTTTAAAGAAGGTTCAGTGTTTGTCTTGCAACTTCTTTTCATTTACATGGAATAATTCAAGGTACAAACAACATGCAAATAAGAAAGTTTGGTCGTAATGAATCCACCATAATCAATAACAATACAGATCTTAAGTATCAAATAGGATGGTATCATTGTCTTGTATGTAAACTATACAAGACAATGGATGAATCTATGAACAGTATTTCATCATAATATGCAGCATGAGGCATAAAGTGTAAGATTCCTCTATCGAGCTTTTTTAGGCTAAGTTCATTGGTTGCAGATGATTCCATCATACTCGATGAAGAACCTGTTTCTAATTATTTCCTCTTTTCCATGAGAAAAACTGGGTTCTTTTGGTTAAGCCAACACAATCTTACAACTCAGCATTAGAACCACGAATGACATGCTAGGTTTGTCGTAAGGATGTTGTTGAACAAATAACAGGCCTATTTGGATGCACCGGGTCACTTATGATAGGGTGCATGACTCTTCCAAAAATGAATCAATAAGCTCTATAGGCTTTCCTTTTCTCCACAATCTCCATGCCGAAGACAAATACATTCTATAAAATTTTTGTCATTTCTTAGTTGAAAGTATGTTCCAAAAGCAAGTCTTGATACTTGCATCCAATCAGGTTAAGGCCATGGTTTATATGATAAAACCCTCTATTAAGGAGAAATTCAATAGGTTGTTTAGATTGGCTGAAAATAAAGATGTTTTGGTTAAAAATATGGGTGAATGGAGGAATGGAGAATGGGTTTGGAAATGGAGTTCGCGTAGGGAGCTGCTAGGACGTGAATGTGCCTATTTGCAGGATCTCATTAGGCTGCTGCATGAGAGTTGTTGGATTTTTTGGTGAAAGAAGAAAGGGACTTGGAGGAGGAAGGGAGAAGCATTGGAGTTCTCTCATTTGAAGAGGTGAGTACTCCGGTGCTTCTCCCTTCCTTCTTTCACCAAAACATCTAACATGGTATCAGAGTCAATGGCGTAGCACAGTCAGTGGTTATTTCGGTCTTGGGCCGAGCTTAGCAAAGTGAGAGTGTTTGTTATGTAAACCCATGATGAGTATACCCATGGATGATGTTGTGCCCATGAAGAGTATACCCATGGATCATGTCATGTCATGTATCTATGTCAAAAAAAAAAAAAAAAAGGATGAACTCTCATGGGGCGCTCACAACTCACAAGTGAAAGGGGGAGTGTTGAAGTAGTATGTTCCCTTGTGAGTGTGATTAACATCCCACATCGAAAAAATATAAAAAGAAAGAGTGGCTTATATATGTAAAGACCCATGACACTTTTAGACTAGTTTTTTGACTCCAATGTGGTGTCGAAACATACAATGGATCACTCAATGTCGCCTTGCTAAGCCACATGTCTCCCCCAACAAGGGTAAGCTGGTGCAAGGAAAGCAACACTCCTGGAGGTGGAAGCATGAATCGAAAGGAACTTGCTCCACAAAATCTGCATACATCATATTAAATAGTAATAGTAGGGAGCCAACTTTGAGAAAATTCAACATGTTATGGAATAACAAGGTGCCACTTAAAGTTTCTGTATTTGTGTGGAAAGTTATGCAAGATAGAATTCCTACTGGTGATAACTTGTTAAAAAGAGGAATGATGGGATTAGATTCTGACTTTGCATGCATTTTTTTTGTGGAAGGCAAACTAAAACAGTAAGTCATTTATTTTTCTACTTGTGAGGCAACTTTGGGCAGTGACTCCTGGAGGTGGAAGCATGAATTGAAAGGAACTTGCTCTACAAAATCTACATACATCATATTAAACAGTAACAGTAGAGAGCCAGCTTCGAGAAAATTCAACATGCTATGGAATAACAAGGTGCGACTTAAAGTTTCTGCATTTGTGTGGAAAGTTATGCAAAATAGAATTCCTACTGGTGATAACTTGTTAAAAAGAGGAATGATGGGATCAAATTCTGACTTTGCATGCATTTTTTTGTGGAAGGCAAACTGAAACAGTAAGTCATTTATTTTTCTACTTGTGAGGCAACTTTGGGCAGTGTGGCAACTTTGGGCAGTGTGGCAAGCATCTTATGCATGCTGGGGTCTGCAGATGGTTCTTACATGTGAAGGCTGGAATCATTTGCAGCAACATGCAAGTATGGTGCAAAATGTAAACTTAAAGGAAATTTAGTGTGTGATATGGTTTTCAGTTATTTGGTCTATATGGCTGTGGAGGAACCAACAAATTTTCAAAGAAGGAAATGCTACTGTGGTGGATTTAATAAAGCTATGATCACTAAACTGGGTTAGGGCCAAGCTAAATGCAGAAATGGCCAAAGACTTGTGGCTTGAGAATCCCAGGGAAGCATGCAAATGAGAAGGATTTTCTAGGGATTTTTTTGCTGGGACTGAATTGAGTCATGTAATACAAGTAATACTTATGATGATGTAAAGGGTTGCAATACCCCTAGTACTCCAAAAAATAAATAAATAAATAAAATAAAATTTTATTTTTCCGATCAAAAAAAAAAAAAAAGAAGAAGATAAAACCCTCTATTTTCTTCTCACTTATTATCTCCAACAATAGTATACTTAAGCTAAAAACATAAAAACATCTTATTTCACTGAGAATTGTCCATCAATAGCATATTCTGGCCCATGTAATCACTATGGAAAATCATCCAAAGAAAATTATACAAATGAGGTTATTGGGGAGATCTAAGCAAAGAAATAAGACTTACTAGGTTGCAACAGTCTGTGCTCCCTTCAATATTCTGGTCTCCTCCAAAAGTTCCAGCCAAGCCAAAGTCTGAGATTTTGGGTTCATCTCTCTATCAAGTAGAACATTATTGGCTTTGAGATCTCTATGAATAATCCTTAATTTGGAATCTTGGTGTAGATAGAGAAGCCCCACAAAAATTGCACAGATAATGTGAAAACTCTTGGACCAAGCAAATAGTTTTCTTCTTGTTTATTCTGGCAAGTATGATATTCATACTAGTGCAGTTTCCTAAAATTGTGCATGCACAAACTAATTCCGATGAATTCATGCCACTCCTACAACGGGTATTTGGTTTTTAATCTGACCAAAAATGAAGAAGTCCAAACTTTTGTCGGACATGTACTCATAAATCAGCATTTTCTCCTCTCCTAGGAGGCAGCATCCCAAAAGCTTCACAAGATTTCAATGTTGAAGTTTGGCTATATGTGCAACTTCATACTTGAACTCATTTAATCCTTGCCTAAAGCTTCTTGAAAGCCTCTTCACAGCAATTTCTTGTTCTATCCAAGCAAAGGGTCAATAAAAGTAATCCTCATATTCTACTTTGGTTCAAGAGTACGACTTTGAAGGATATGAAACTAAGGAGAGATTGAGTGCAAAAGCCACACTAAATTTTCATTATACAAAATACTTAAGTAGACACTGATTAGGGTAATTACAAAACTACCTCAGCAGTTATCAAATACAAACAAACTTCTTAACAAATTGCTATAAACTTAAGAACACAGAAAACAGTAATTAATTTGAAAATAAACTAGTTCAAACTGCAGCTTTGATGGCATGTTTATCTGGAACAGTTCCAACAAATTTATACATTTTGGGAAATTCAGGCTCTAAGAAGGTTTCATTTGTTTTTTCAATATAAAATGAAATTGGTTACGAACCACATATGTATGAAAAGACAGCTTCTGGGTGGACCGTAAGTCCTTCTGTTGATGTTTGAGTAAGAACTGGAAGGGTATGTTTTTGCATTGGAGTTTAGGGCCCAAGTTTTATTTAGTCTTAAAGTTGAAAAAACATAAAAAGGTACTAATTGCACCCATGAACAATGTTCTGGTCATGACATACATCACTATATATAATCCTTTACCGAGCCTCCAAGATCGTGTGGGTGATTTCGTTTACTGAGGTCGAGTCATGCTTACTTGTTGAAGAATCCATTTCAAGTGCAGTCCTTTCAAGCAAGAAACCTGGCTGTTTTGGCTGAGGCAATTTGATCTCACTTCCCAACATCATCACCACCGATGACATGGGAGGCCTGTCCTCAGGATTCTGTTGAAGACATAAAAAACTGATGTGGATGCATCTAATAACTTCTGATAGAGTGAAACACTCTCCCAAGGATTCAGCTACAAGTTCTAAAGGATTGTCTTCTTTCCATAATTTCCATGCCTGGAGGATATTAAAGCCAGTTCATCATTTATGAGTTCAATGTAAAAGAAAGTGAAAGAATGATTGATGATGCTTACATGTCCAATGAGGTTAACATTATGTTTTGGCTGAAAAAACCCTCTATTTTTAATACCACTTATTATCTCCAGCAATAATATGCCAAAGCTAAAGACATCCGACTTTACGGAGAATTGCCCGTCTATGGCATATTCTGGTGCCATATAACCACTGCACAACAATGTTCATAAGAGAACAGATTAATTGGCATTTATGGATAAAAGTAAAACTATGCAAGTACTAAAATAATAATTACTATGTGCCAACAACTCTGCTTGTGCTCCCTTCAGTCTGCTCTCCTCCAAAAGTTTTGGCCATCCCAAAATCTGAAATTTTTGGGTTCATCTCCTCATCAAGAAGAACATTACTAGCTTTGAGATCTCTATGAATAATCCGCAATCTGGAATCCTGGTGAAGGTAGAGAAGTCCCCTCGCAATCCCACAGATAATCTTGAAACGCTTGGTCCAATCTAATTCTTTTGCCCTTGTTTGATCTGGAAAACAGCATTGCATTTATGACAATTTGGTAATCCTACTTCATCTAAAATGTGTGACATAGATACAACATAACTACATTAGTCCAAGATTGATAGAAAAATTCTAAAGGATTTCTAACCAAAAAGGAATGAGTCCAGGCTTCTGTTAGGCATGTATTCATAAACCAGCATCTTCTCCTCCCCTTCAATGCAACACCCAAGAAGCCTAACAAGATTCCGATGCTGAAGTTTGGCAATCAATTTAACCTCATTCTTGAACTCATTCACTCCTTGTCCAGAACTCTGGGAAAGCCTTTTCACAGCAATTTCTTGCCCATCCAGGAATTTCCCCTAAAAAATAAAAAAGACTAAGTAGTAGTAAAAACAAAGGAAAAATAAGAAAATTAGCCATGTAGAATAATTGTCACCAGCAAATAAGCCCCCTGATCAAACTTCAGTATCAAATCAGCCCCCTAAACTTATAGATAGGAGCAAATATCTCCAAATGGAAAAAGCTGTTAGTCTCCATTAAATTTATCTGACGTGGCAAAATTGTATCAGCATTTATTCATAGAAAAAACTGATGTGGACTCAAATCATATTTTCATACATGGGACTAAAAAAATTAAAGAAAACTACTTGGCCATGTCAACTTTTCCATCCACTTTGGACTTATTTGCTGTTGTTCATAAGTTCAAAGGTGATTTGTCACCAAGGTTTCATCAAGAGCTTATTTGTCTGTGAAAAATACTTTTTTGGGGGGCCTAATTTGCCTCTTTTTTCTAAAAACAAATGCAATTTACTTATGCTCAATTTCATTAATATGCTGCAAAACATACCTTGAAAACGGGTCCAAAACCCCCTTGACCCAGCTTGTTGCTGAGTGAAAAATTATCAGTTGCATGTGATATTGTAGCTAGTTGAAATACTGGAAGCTCCATGTCTTCATCTGGGCCTTCATTCTTTATATCATTTTCTTTCTTCTCTTTGATTCTCCCTGTAACAGTAGTAGACATGGAGCTTAACGTTAACCATGGGAAGATCAGAAATGGAGAACTAAACTAGTTATGATTTCATCAAATGTATTTTGAGATTCAAAACCATTCTGTTCATCATCAAGCAATTACATCTTGAAGATTATCTAGCCACAAAAAATCTAATTGAAAAATGGGGAAAAAAAATCAAGACGAAACAAGTACATTCACAAAACACTGATTGGATTTTGCCAATAGTCATAGCATGAAGGAACAAAATGAACATATATTTGTTAAGGTGAAAAGTTTGAAATATCTACCTCCTGAGCTTCTGCTTTTGCAGAAGTAATGGCATAAAATAAGCATCGCCAGAAGTGCAGCAAGTGGAGTTGCAATTATCAGTGCTATCTTCAACTTAGTCTCATTTCCCTTTGATCCTTCATTGTCAATTTTGATAGAAAGAACAAATGTAATTAAATCTTAGCTAAAGTACATTATCACAAGCTGTAATAAGCATAGTTCTTTGATCTTTCTACTTCCAACAAGACTCAGCATCAATGAAACATTCAAGTTGGCTAATGAAGAGACGTGAATGAAAAGGGATGTTCATACCTAATTCCAAAGCAGACATCCTAATGAACAGATCCTGCCCACCAGATTGATACTGTCTAATGTCAACTAGATCACCAAACCAAATGGCACAACCACTACCTCTCCCTCTTATATCCAAACTACTATATGCCATACAAGAACAGTTTTGGAAGCATTTATCCCTGCATTCCTTGATGCTCATAGTTTTGTTTACCCATGAATGGGTAGCATCAGGCAATTTCAACCTTCTAAATTGGATAAATCCATCGCCTGCTTGGCAGTTCAATGGCTTGTTTCTCTCACATCCTTGAGACCAGTCCCCAGAGCTCCATCCATCTGGTGATTTAGGCTTGAATCCTTTCAAACATTGGCAAGCTGGAAGTTGAGTACTGTCACAATTCCCATATGCACCACAAAGGCCATATTTGTCACAATACTCGTTAGGTACAAATGTCAAAAGCTTCCATGTTCGAGTTTCTTCACTCCATGTGTATCTCTGCCTGGTGTAGTCAGTTTGGTTCAGAACAATCCTTGAGAGCACAGACTTGTTTTTGAGGGAAAACATGTAGTAGACCTCCTCTTCATTGGAGACAAATTCATAACTGAAAACTAGGTTACCAGGACTTAAATATGGGGCACCACTAAATCCTATGCCATTCCAGGGGCCACTCCGGAAGTATTTCTGTGAGCCTTTCCAGAGCACAGCCTCAGGATTACCTTGTAGTTCAATTTCCCAAATAAAGTCACCAGGAGATGGATCATCAGAGTTCTTCCACGCTGAGAGATGCCGGTTAAGGTGAGTTCTCAAGTCCCATCCTAGTTTCATCTCTGGT